GTCATGGGTTCCCAGCCTTGACCACACACAAAGGAAAGAATAAATAAATAATGTAAGTCGGGAGTGGGGAGAATAGTGGTCCATTCTAATTGGTTTTCTAAATTTAATGCAGTAATTATTTGAAAATGGATTTTTGTATAGCTGGGAACTTCCTATGTTCCTTGTCCGAACAGCAACACCCGAGTGTGTCCGTTATCCGAAAGCCCCCCCCCCACGACTTTCTGTGAATAACCTATAACCAACCTTTGGGAATTATTCTCTTGCCTCCCACCCATCTGAGAGAAATACTTCTGTCAGTCTGGCTCACTTCAAATATGACCTCTGTCTCCTGGAGACTTTCAAAGCATTTGTGTAGCAACTACAGACTATGAAAGTCCGACAGAATGGGCCTCACTGTCACCAGACCTTTCTTTGGGACACTTTCTCATTGTTTTGTTTCCTTCACAAGGCTGTGGGGTAGCAGGTGTACTCAAGGAGAAGGTCAACGGCAAGTGGAGGATGCAGCAACATCTTAAGAAGATGCTTTGAGAATGGATAGATAGATAAAGAGATAGATAATGGATGGATTATAGATAACTGATAGATGATATATAAGATAGATAGATAGATAGATAGATAGATAGATAGATAGATAGATAGATGATAGATTATAACCAGACATATCTAATTTAAAGTTTAAGAGACTGAGTTCTCTGCTTCTGGGGAAAAAAACTTTGCTAGTTATAGTGCTAGCATAGGCTTGAAAGATAAAAACATAAGACAGAACTCTAAGCTGTATTGACTACTGATTGTTAAAGCAAGTTTGTATTAATGAGGGGGGTAATGTGCTCACCCATTCATCTACCCATCTACTACCCATCTATCCATCCATCCATCCACCCACACCCCCACTCATTCATCTAACTATCCATCCATCCATCCATCCATCCATCCATCCATCCATCCATCCACACACCCACTTACCCATCCATCCATCCATCCATCCACCCACACCCCCACTCATTCATCTAACTATCCATAGATCCTTCCATCCATCCATTTATTCAGCCAAAGTTAAACTGAGGTCTTGCTCTGTCTCAGTACTATTCCAGGCACTGGGGATATTACAATGGAGATGATGAAATTTGTTTTTTTTTTAATTGTCATCTTTAGGTAAGACTAAAGATGACAGAATTGAAGCCGTCCTTGAACACCGGGGTTGCCAGTAAACTAATATCTTAAGCCTGGCTCCCTAGAAGCAGAGCCCAAGACGATGACTCTTCCACAAGAAATTGATTGATGCTTACTTACATCGTTGTGAGGATAGATGAGGTCAGAGTTCCAAGTTCAGCAAGTGAGTGAGCGCTGCTGAGCAGGTGTAGTACAGCCTTGCTTCGATTATGCTAGGAGCTGTGAGATATTGACAGCATTGTATTTGTACTCCTCTGAGGCAAGAGGGCTAGAATTTTTGTATCCCGGGAATGGGGTGTAACCTCTCTGGCACTTCTAGACGAATGCACCTTCTGAGAGCCGTCCAGAGGAGCCACCGGCAGTACCGCAAGCACATGGGTTTCATGCTAATGGTGAGAGACTCACCTATCATTTATAAATGGACCCAACAAAAAATGGTTTGTTTTTTTCTGGTGCTGAAAGAGCCCACTATTTCTTGGATGCCCTTCAGATGACATGGCTGGCTTGGGTTGAGGAACCCTGTGTTTATGGAAAACAGGTGACTGTCTGCATGGAATCACACCCAGTGTTGGGAGAGTCTCAGGTTGTTACGCTGTCCCCACAGGGTCTGAGACTGTGTGTCAGGAAGCATATGTGACCTGCCATCATACAGGATGTTCATCCCGGTGTGGACGGGAGAGCAGGAAGCAGGAGCGGATGGAGGGATGTTGAGTGTTAGTTGTTGGGAGCTCTGGGGACAAATGACTTGCTAGAGCTGGACTGCCTTGGGCTATGGTGGTCTGGTGTTTGTATCTCTTTCCTCCTATAATGGGCCATCTCTGGAAGGGCACAGCCTTCGATGAGGTGGCTCCCTAAAGCTGAAGTCACCCCTGCAAGGACAGCGAGAGGCTCTTTGCTGGCTGTCCCTTGGCCTCCAGCTGCAGCTGGCCAGCAGATCCTCCCTGGGACGGAGACTGGCAACATAAACTTGTGGACATGACTTCTTGGGTCATCTGCTGCTCATTTGCAGGAATCCACTTGCCTCATTGGAGTTGATTTCCCTTTGTGAGAAGTGGGGAGATTGGAATCAGTTGAAGAACCTACAGTTTAGCTAATGCTTTTAAAGTTAATTCAGGGCTTTTATGGGGTGTCTGTGTTGTAATTTTTTTTTTTTAAGCAACGTGAGAGAGAAAGACGCCATGTGACAGAGTTCAAGCAGGGAGGGTTTTTATTATGGGAAAATGATCATTAGGGAGAAGGGTAGGGGGGAGATGGGCCTCTGGAGAAAGAGAGAGAGGGAGAGAGAGAGAGAGAGAGAGAGAGAGAGAGAGAGAGAGAGAGAGAGAGAGAGAGAGAAACAGAAAGAGAGGGAGAGAGAGGAACAGAGAGAGAGAAAGAGAGAGAGGAACAGAGAGAGAGAGACAGACAGAGAGAGAGAGAGAGAACAGAGAGAAGGATGGGAGGTGGGTGGGGCCCTTTTAAAAGGGAACACAGTGAATGTGCACAGGTGGTGCTCTTAGTGGCTGCAGCTGAGGACAAATCCTGTCAGAACCCCAAGGACAGGCCAGTGCAGATGTCTGAATACTAACAGTCTTCACCTAAAATGTCTTTGTTTTAAGGTTTCTCTTTATTTAATAACAGGCACTATGTTGCCTTATTTAATGCTTTAAAAAATAATATGACAAGGATAACATTATTCCCTAAGTCACAGATGAGGAAGTACCACACTATTGAAGGGGGAAACGCCTGCCCCACAGAGCTACATAGCCCTGCGTCTGAGCCAAAATCTAACTCCAAAGCTCAAAAAGGAAAAAAAAAAATTAACCACCCCGCTAAGACCCAGTGTGAAAATGTTCTCAAAATCCTTTAATCGTAGTTAATTTATTCATTCACCCATGTTTCACGAGCACATCTTATACCAGGGCCTGTGGTAGCTCCAGACAGGAGTCAAGAGAGAAACCTCTGAGAACAACCATACATGTGTGTATCAAAGCATCACAGGCTACCTCCATCAATGTGCACAATTTTTATGCTTTTATGGAGCAATGAAATTTTTAATTAAGGAAACTCTGTAGAGGGCCGTGTGCGTGAGTTCTTACGGGTAGGTCATTACCCTGCCTGTCTGTGTGCTGATAATCATCTCAAGAAATTAATGCAAGTGAGATGCACCTTGAGTATTTGCCAGGTGAGAATTCACTCTTTTCCACTTCTTAACAGGCTAAACGGGATGCCAAGCGAATGTCTGCAAAAGAAGTCACAATTAATGTCACAGAGAATCTCCGTCAGATGGACAGGAGTAAAAGAATCGCAAAAAACTGCGTCAATTAGCAGTGCCTGTATGGAGGAGCGGATGAAACTTTGTGGGGTCCAGTCAAAGAATCTTGAAGAAGTGGGTGTCGCTCACTAACCATGGCTGCCTCTGGAGGGATGGCTTGACCAAGCAACACTCGGCCACCCGAGCTGTGAGGGCCTTCTCAGTGTCCTGTTTATCATATATGGGAACAAAAAAAAAGTATTGAAAAGTCCTGAAATATGTTCACAGATTGCCAAACTGTGGTTTGTTTTTCCCCTTTGTAGCTTCCGTAGCACGGTCTGCTGTAGCCTTGGTGAAATGCGTGGGCCTGTGAATGACAGAAATGCAGGAGTGGTGGATTTCCTGGGGCAAGGATCATACATTAGTGTGAAGCTCACACAGTGTGTGGTCCTAAACCCTTGCTCCTTTCTGTGCCAAAACAGCTATCACAAAATTTACTGTTTTCACGTCAGAGCCGGCTCTCATCCAGTTCCAAACCCAGAAACATAAGAACCGGAGAAACAGAAAACTCAGTTTGAAGCAGAGTAATCCAAGCCGCACACGCTGACTCCACCAGTGTCTGTGGGGTGTCTTTGAGAGGTGTCAGTGACCCAGCCACACCTGTTCATCCCAGGATGGAAAAGCATCCCAGGCTGGCATCCAGACCGGAATATCTCCATGTCTGTGGCCATTGCATCCAACCTGCAAGCCCCTCTGGGACCTAGCTACATGTTTTGTTTTCATAGCTTTTCCCTTCCATTTTATCCTCACGACCTCCAGACGGGTCATTTGCAATTGGGATCAAAGACTGGATATGGCTCACAGCAGGGAAGTGACCCAGGGACACGTGGTGGTGCACGTGATGCCCCTTTTGACCTTCCTGTGTCAGCCCCGAGGACTGTGTTATTTTGGTGTCTGCAAAGTAGTTAGTTTAGGAAGCCAGATCCCAGTTGATGTAGATTCGTGTTGACATCGGACTGACAAGGGACTGCGTTGGCCAACACAGTGAGAGGATGCTGGGAGAGGGATCTTTCTCTAGCATTTCTAAACACATCTTCCTGCAAAGTCTCACATAGCGTGAGTTTCAGAGGACTGTTAACATGCTCGGGCTTAGGAAAGGCATAGACGGAGTTGTACCAAACTGTACCAACAACCCACTCCACATTTAGCAGCAATAGCGGCCTGGTGACATGTTTATCTGACACCGTCCAAGAGACGTAACCTCAGCAGACTAAAATGCCGACGCCCACTCTGCATTAACAATATCTGTGATACTATTCCTCCAACACAAGTACAACGGTAGACTGTCTATTTGTTAGTACCGAACATTCACTGCCAATCTTGTGCCAGCTACGGTAACAGACGTGGAGGGATTTGGAGTCTGGCCAGTCACGACTGTCCCTTCTGACTCTATAGGTCGGGTTGACGCCCAGGAGACCAGCGTGGACCCTACGGCACAGGACCTATGATTGCAGTGGAGTAGCACTTTTAGGTTAAAGGTTGCTTCCTGTCAATCACAGATGTTTGCCCAATCACTGTCCAAGCCTTTGCCATATGCACCACAGTTTCCCCAAACCTCTCTCATCTCCACTCCGTGTCAAAGGGCTTTTAGGGAACTTCATGTTCTGAGAATTTAACTAATAAAAACAAAAGCAAGCCCCGGGACTCCTGTGGCATCGCTCGGCAGGAGTCCTGCTGCAAGGTTGGCAGCGGTCCGACCCGGTGAACTCAAGGGCTTGCTCTCCAGGGCATGTGTGCTGTGTTTTGACATGTGCTTCCCCAGGTGACGTGCTATCGGCCACGGGCTAAGGCCAGCTTCTCCTCCCGACTCTGTGTTTGCCTCAGTTTGCTGATGCACGCTGTTTGGAATGAATGTCCCATCTGGAAAAGTTGTCTCTGCATATATAGAAACACGCTCTCACTTTCCGAGGAGGAGGAATGGAGCGAGGGCCTCTGATCTGGCCACACCAGTGACATTTCCATCTGGCAGAGTTTAAATGTGTGGTTAAGACGGGAACTGATTCTTACTATCCTATTGGATAACATTTTCCATTTTGAAGTTTGTGTCAATAAAGTCATTAATTTCAAACATATGTGGATTGTTACAGACTCTCCTTACTAGAACCTTAAACCTGTATGCACAGCTGGGTAGAATTTAAAAACAAAAACAAAAACAAAAAACAAAGGTGTTTTACAGAAGTGAGTCCTTCAAACAGCCACGTGGATTAGGTGAATAAGGTAAGGAAAATGCAATTAGCGCCAACTTACCCTTACGGAGGTATTTATAGTCTTTTTGGCCAGGAATTGGTGGGCTGGGATGCCAGACAGGAAAGCCAAACTTAAGAAAAGTGACCCCACCCCCCCCGCCGTTCCTGTCTCAGAACGTCTAGCCTGACTCTAGGAGCTGTCACATACCCCGAAACTGAGCCAACCCCAAATTTATGAGGACAGGGGGTGACTGGAGAGGGCCACAGTGAGAGAGGTGGGTCTAGCCTGAGCTCACCTTAGCCTTTTGGACAGGATGAGCCTGACCTAGCATGAGATGGGACTCTGGGTTAAGGTCAGAAAGCAAGCTGATAATTCAGGGAAGACAGAAACTGCACTCCTTATAAAAACTGTCTAATATGTGCACATGATAAAATACATATAACAAGGAGCAGGAGGTGATGGCTGCCTAGGTTGCACCCAGGCCTGATGGTGTGTTGCCATTTGTGACCTCCCCGGGGTCACAGAAATACCTCCCCGCAATATCTGTTCTTCCAAGCAGGGTTCCCAAGGAGGGGACCTCTTCTACAGAAAGCAAATAAAAGGCACAGTTTGTTCAGCCGCCCTGCTCTACAAACGCTGGGGTTCCGCGTACACAGCTCCGGCAGGCTCCCCTCACCGAGATACCATTGTCCAGTCTCTCTTTCTCAGCCGGTGGGATGTTCATTTAGATAAAGATCACGTGTGATGCTGATGAAACCCACAGAAACAGCTGATCTGAACAAGGGAGAGCTCTTGGTCCCGAGACTGATCATTGGGAAACCAGCAAGGGACTGATCCAGACCCCAGGAACGTGGGTGTCAGTGAGGAGGCCTCGGAAATCTATGGGGCCTCTTGTAGTAGATCAGTGCTTATCCCTAGCATAGGAATGGACTTTGGGAGCCCATTCCACATAGACGGAAACTCTCTCTGCCTAGACACATGGGGGAGGGCCTAGGCCCTATTCCAAAGATCGTGACAGACTCATGAAGACCCCCCTATGGGAGGCCTCATCCTCCCTGGGGAGCAGAAAGGGTATGGGATAGGTAGGGTGTTAGTTGGTGGGGAGGGGTAGGGGAGGAGGGGAAGGGGAGGGAACTGGGATTGACATGTAAAATAATCTTGTTTCTAATTTAAATTTTAAAAAATGGAGGAAAAAAAAAAGATGGCGAGTGTGGTTTCTTCCTGCTGCTTAGAATGTGGAGGTAAAAGCTGCCACAACATAGGCCCACTGGGCTGTCAGGTGGCCTCAGAAGTGGACGCTATGCCAAACCGAGCAGCAAATAAGAGGTAGCCCAGGATCCTGATTCCACAAAGCCTCCCTGAGCCCTGTACTGTACATTCTTGACTGTGTGTGACCAAGAAATTATGCATTTGCTTTATTTAATCTCCTCTTTCAGGTTGTAATTCATCAGCAAAATTAATTTAAATTGATGCAGAAAATTTCATCTTCTTTTGAAGATCTGGAAGCTCTGCCTCTGAGTCCCTTGGTCCTGAGTTTTCTGCACCTCATGTCTGCATGAGATAGGACTGTTGTCTCCAGACGGTGAGGGCCCCACCACTCACGTGACTCACACATAGTAGCTCTGGGGTGTGTGACTTTGCAACCCCTACTCCAATTTGTGTCCCCAAGTACCTGGCTTTCTTTTCTTTTAAGGGTCATTCAAATGCTGATTGCCTCTCCTCAATTCCACAAGTCTGGGAAGTAGCTCATTTGGGGAAATTTTCTGAGGAAGTAAATTACAAACATGACCCAACAGCTAAAAGTATGCATGTACTCACTTTAATGCATTATAACTATTTTATTAAAAATCTTCAATGTGCCAGAAATAGGAAATCATTACAATTATTTTTTTACTTATCTACTTACGGTTTATGTTTGCTTACTGCATTAGCTCCACAAAATCAGGGGCCACGCCCGCTTTATTTCCAATTTCTAGTACATTGAAACATTTCAATAAATATACACCGCATTTTGATCTTATTCACACCTCCACCCTCTTGGATCCCTTTCTCCCCAAATTCTTCTTCATAACTGGTCCCCCTCCTAGTTTCGTGTTGAACCGCTATTTTAGTCAGATTCTTTGGCCAGCATTCTCCCTGCCCTGTCTCTGGTGATAAGAAGGTTTCTTCATTCGTACAGAGAAGACAGCTTCCCTGGGCTTTATCTGCAGCTCTCAGGAAGAAAAACACCCCGAGATTTCCTCTTGGAACATTTTCTAAAGTGACGTCAGCTCCAAATAACCCTTATGCCAGAGAGACATCTTTGTGGTTGCACGCTCCATGACTCTTTGGTGACAATTCCGCTAATTTGTTGAAAGAGGAAATGTATACACTCCTTCAACGGTTCCATTTTGAACTATATGTGTTACAGACTGAGCTGTATACCTTCCAAACCTTCTTGCTGAAGTCCTAAGCCTGTGTGTATAGAATGTGGCTTTATTTGGAGATGGGTGTTTAACTACGACAAAATGAGGTCATCTGGGTGGGCCCTGATCTAATGTAACCTTGGCACTTCCACAAAGGGGAGATTAGGATGCTCAGACTCACAGAGGGGGACGCCCCTGTGAGATACCAGAGGGAGATGCCCACATGTAGACCAAGGAGAAAGGACCCAGAAGCAACACCCTGCTGATGCCTCGGCCTCAGACATTGAGATTCCCAGTTTTGAGAAAATCAGTGTCTGTTAAGTCACCAGGGCTGTGGAGCTTTGTGAACATCCCTAGGAAACTGGTACGACACTCTAGAAAACCACGTGGATATTTTTATAAGCTGGGTGTGTGGCCCACTGCTCAGTCTTCTGGAACTTGGCTTCAGGGGACCGGAGAACACAGTTCCACAGGGAACACAGCTTCATCTCCGTCCCGTTACCCCTTGAAGTGCTCCCCAGGGATCTCCCAACTGGGCCACCTGCCTTCCTTGGCTGGAGGACTTTCTCTTACCCCTTCCAGGGCGTGAAATTCCAGGACATTGGTGCCATTGACGCTGGTTCACTTCCTCCCGATCCCAGCTCAACCTTAGGGGGGTGATGCTAAGATAGTTGTTTTCTATGAGCTCCCAGAATTTTCCCAGATGTATGAACTCCTGCTGGGTATGTATTACCCAGCAGGTAGCTGGTTTAATAACATACCCCTTTATTGCATGCTTCTCTGATTGGTCTCCAGGGCAGGCGCACTGCTGTAGTGGCAGGCTGTGATACGAACGCCATCCTTTCTCTTGTCTCTTTTATTGCCACACCCAAACATCATGTATTTCAAAGACTTGGTTTCTTCCTCCACTTTCTCCCGAGCATGCTTAGAATATCTGAAAGGTTCTCAGCTGCTGGTGTGCAAATCTTGGATCTCTAAAGGTTTTGCTTGAATATGGTACCATGAGTTGATTTTATGGCAAATAAACACACAGGCAAATGTTCTATTTAGCTTTAGAGATATGAGGAACATCGTGGAAGGAAATGCCCCAAGGACACCCTGGCAGAAGTCAGTAGCTCCGTGAGTTCCTAAGACAGGCAGGTCGACCATTAGAAGCAGAAGACTCGAGGAAATTAGTGCATGGTGTGTTTAAGAGCACCTGATGTTAAAACAAGACACAGCAACAGTGACAACAGAAAACTGCTTGCTGAGATAAACAACCATACCAGGATTTTGCAATCCCTACTACCGATAAGAGTTGGACCAGATTCATGACTGATAATGTTAGATAATGGCTTATACTTGCTTTTGACAAATTTATTTGTTCTTTGAACTTATTCTGCCCTTGGAACCTCTTTACATGAATGTGTGTATCTTCTATGAAGACTCCATAGCAAGCTCAGGTGAGGAACCGAGTCCCCGGAAAACACACGCTACTGTGAGATGGTCAAGACCAAGCCTCAGTCTCCCCCAAGAAGAAAGGTGTTTGCGCCGGTGAATGCAAGATAGTTAAAATTTTGTTTGGGTTTTAAATTTTATTTAATTATCCAAAGGGTATCTCCTTATGTTCTAATAGACAAAGCAACTGTTGGTGACCTGGGAAGCAAAGAGAGTAGCCAGAGGGCCTGTAAAGGCAGAGATATCACAGACAAACACAAGCTTGAAGTCTCCAGCTGTGTGTCCTGGGGCACAAGAGGGAGCTTCTGAGACTCACCCCCTTCAGGGAAGTGACAGTATCTTTTTGAGGGTGTATTGTGAGGATTAAGTAAGATAACAAATGTTGATAACACAGCTTCTGCTGCCACAGGATAAGCATCGCTCTGGGTGCCTTGCATGCTTATCTCTACCCATCACAGCCCTGCCCAGGTGAGCTCACCAACCCCACTTTACAGATGAGAAAACAAACTGAAAGGATCGTACAGCCACAAGGGCGGTGAGGAAGCCACAGAGCTGGGGTCTGGACTTACATCTGCCTGTCTATAGAAACCGGAGGTCTGTCTACTGGGTTCAGTAAAGGTCCCTTGCCTGTCTGTCTGGGGGAAAGGCAAGGGCTCCAGGGATGGTGTTACCCTCACAGAGCTTCTAGCTTGCCCAGGGTCATCCGGGAGGATGCATGGCGGCCTGTGTTCAAGCCTGCAGAATTTCACCTGTGTTTCTCTTGATTCTCCTCAGCCAGAGCCCAGCAGTCCTGAGCTGTGCCATGGCATCAGTCCTCTGAGGGTAATACTAATTAATAAATTAGGGGGTAATACTAACTAATAAATTAGGGGGAGGGCACCTAAGGTCGTTGTAGTCACTTCCCTGTCCCACAGGAGGTGGAAGCCTGAGCTAGGTGGGTCCCTAGGGAGAAATGAA